TACAGCGAATGTCCAGGACCAAAAATAAGTTTGTTATATCCATCAGTTCGTTATAAGCGTGTTTATTATAAACATAGTTTACTGTATGTAGTTTCCTAATTATCTTTTTTATTTATTTTGTGCTTCTAGATGACAAATGACAATACTTTGATAAATAAGCAAAGATATTTATATTTCTGCAATTACACAGCCCTAGAACAAATATGAAATGAATCTTTTGAAAATTATTCCACAAAAGCTTCTAGAATTTGGCCACAAATATTTGCAAATGACGAAAGGAAAGTGTCAGCTGTTGCCTGTTGGTGTCGCTGAAACTTGGTCATTTGGATGTTATTGACATTTCAGTGATCGCACACGTCACCAGCCTAATGCAGTGGATCACTTAGCTTACCAAGGTTTGTCACATGGATTGCCACCTTCCATTTTACAAGCTCTTATTATAAATTGATTTTTATAGAGACACACTGACCCAATCTAGATTGAAGCAGGAGAAGGGAAGTGCAGAATGACCTTGCTTGTCAGGGTGAATATAAGTCATCTGTTTGATTGTCTCAGATTTAAAAGCAAGATGTTGTGAAACACTGCCGTGTTAAACAACACCTTCCTTCTGTACAGCACGTTAGGTTATATTCTACATCCCACTAGGAGTGATGACTTTGGGGCAATGTTGGCAATGGTTGGCAATGTTTCACTCCTTGTTTCATGCCCTTAATGCCGAGTTCCTGGAAGGGTAACAGTAAGTACCAACTTGCTGGGGATCGAACCAATGACCCTCCTTCCCCGGGCAGATGTGTGTATATAGTTACATATATGCAATGTATTATTAGTAGCAGAAGGAGTAGAGAAGCAGTTGCTGCCTGATGTGTTATGCTATTTGGTGCGCTACACATGTACATGGTTACATGACAGTCTCGAAGTTTTATATAAGATAAATTTACATACACAAATAACATTTAGTAAAATCGTCAATTCAATATGTCTGCCAAACCATGTTAAAAATGACCAAAGTCAAAGAACATAAAACTGTCAAGCATCTCCAGTAAAGGAGAAACGTGTACAATTTGACAGTAATTAAACAAGAGGTTATGGAGCAACAGGGCAAAATGTGTCTTTAAAAATTAATTAGTTTTAGTTATCAACCCTTGGTCATTGGGCCTCTGGCGTGGGAATTTAATTATATCTGGTACTCTATGTATACAAATTCAAGACATCAACTTTAGAGAATAATCAGTCTCGAATATCTGCCGAAACAGATTCCTTAGAGTGTAAATTGAAAAAATAACATGAACGGATCACAAAAAATCAGGGATGACACCAGGTGTTCGTGAAAAGGGCAAACACCTCCTGCTCTATCGGTAGCACCCACCCAATCACACAGCCTCAGCCAACAATACTCCTGCCATATGACAGCAGCCTGTAAACAATCAAGCCTTGACCAGATAATCCAGTGATCAGCATCATGAGCAATGATCCATGCTGTCAATCAAGTCACCAAGCCAAGATGACCCATTAAAGTAAGTGCCAGTGAGAACGGAGGTGTGAAAACTCCCTGTAGAGGTCATAGTATGAGATAGCATCATGCATCATGATGACAAGCAACGTGTCATTATTAAATATCACTTAAATGTCTACAATAACATTTCTGGAATGACTTGACCAAGCTTTTGATGGTGAAACCTGGATTGAAAAGATGGACAGAATAGGGTCAATGGTTATTGAGTTATCAATCATAAATATTATCATACCGCCATATCAGAATGATGAGATCTGATTGGTCAATACGATCTTGATAAAATACTATGTATCCCACCTTGGAGAGATTAAATTTCTCAGGAGGATAAATCCCTCACACCCCACCATGAACATGACATGTGAATTTGTTTTAATGTCATATTAATAATAAAAAACAATAATTCACAATAGGGCCTTTAGCCATTTTGACTTAGAGCCTTAATGACGGTAAATGATATTTTCTTCACCTGATAACAATGAACACATAAGGACGACAACATGGACACATGATTTTTGTGTTACTTGAGGTCTACCAGCCTTTCAGTGTGACTCTATGGCTCTCTGTAAGGTCTTTACTGAGGAAAATAACAAGCAGTCTTACAGACACAAACTGTTTCAAACCAACATCCTGAATTCATACGTCATTAACACAATGTTTCAATTGCCCATGTAACTCACCTCTCATCAATTATGTTTTGTAATCATTCATCTTAGCACACTGGCCACGAATAGTCATAAAACAAGAATAACAGAGTTATAAGCCTTTCAAGTTTAAAAATAAGAAAAAAAACTTTTTAATTATTTCAGAGAATTAATTTTCAAAACATGAAAAACCTAAGGTACAAATTTAACAAGGTCAGTCATATTTACATCCCTTGATCAGCTCCTCAATTTTGTTACAGCAAGATGTGATTCATCACATCACTTTAATACCCTGCATCCAACACTGGTCTCCTATGCCATAACAGCTTTGATGGATCTTACCCAAGCCTGGAGTTAAAGGTCAAATTATATGTACTAAAATCAGAAAACCCTGTTGAAACATGCACTTGATGCTCCCCATCAGCAAATAAATTAAATTGAATTATAATTCATAGCTACATAACTTAATCATTTCCCAATTTTCACCATACAAATGTTCATAGACCACCATTATCCTTATTTCCAGAATCAACATATTCTGTTAATACACTTCTTTAAATGAAAGTTTGGAGTCATTGTTCCTTACAGTAGAGGAAAATGATCTTATATTTCTTTCTCTCACAAAACTTTATTATTTCCACAGTTATCCTTGTTAGAGGAAGGATGTTTAGTCCAATCATCTTGGCACAGGGCACAGGTGTGGGTATTTAACAGTATCCATTACGATTTAGATCTATATCATCATAACAAGAGCATGAATCACATGGATGCCAGATCTGTCATAAATTTGAAACATGGAAGTTTATATGTCATTTATCTCTATGCCACTATCACCTAGAGACTGCCAACGACTTTTTTGAATGAATGTAATTCTTCAGTAAGATAAACTGAAATCTTTATCACAAAGTAAAATTATATATATGGTTTATAGGACGAAATGTCAATCTCCAGTTAGACTGTACTGTTTTGTATATTTTGAGTATATCTATATATAAGTATGGGGGCAAGTTCTTCTACTAATCTCAACAAGGCTAGGCTAATGGTTTCTATGTTTGCATGAAGCAACTTGAATTTTGAAACAAAGTTTTTTAAAAATACTGTGTTTTGTTAAGAGTGTGCTAGTTTCAGTCACTTGTTCCCATGTCATATCAAGGTTTCCCTTACAGAAATTAAGATAGGTAGTCTCACAGCAAGTTTTGAAAGTCCTGTATCAGAAGGCCATGAATGTGTGGATTCATTGATTACAGACTGGGAATCAGCTGGTCACAATGGCAGTAGAAAATAGAACATAGGCACTTTGACAACCGACCACAAGGAACCATTCTCTCCATTAAAATATGTTTCAGGCTTCTCGACCGACTCTGATCTAAAGCATCCGACCCTGAACCATTTTTCTTGTTTTTTCTGGCATTGCACAATAGGCTTCTCAGCATCTCAGTATTGTCCGTATTTTATGAAACAAGCATATATTTGTCGCACTTCACTACGAAGAACCATTCATTTGAAAGCAGGCGTCATCATTTATCAAAGAAAAATAAAATAAAAATATAACAACCTCACCTACCTACCACTTTTAGATGGACTGGAATAGGAAATACATATATTTTTAGCCTCATCTAGCTGATTGTGTCTTTGCTTTGGCCTGACAGTGCAGATCAATGTTCACCCTGTCAGCCTCTGGTTTAACTTGTCCAGCATCAGGTCAAACTACTTCATGTTATCAATGGAAGAAATAGGTAAATAATGTGACATGTGTCAGGCTTATATGTAATCAATTGGAGAAACTAATACCACGTCCGGAAAGATGAAGTGAAACTATTGAAATGTCAAGCCACATAAGAACTGGTTTAATCTATTTTCTGAAACTTACAGTATTTTAAAGTGGCATCTTTTCATTACACACAAACAATACCTGAATCCCACCTTATTTCCTGTGCCCTTTCAAACATTTATCAACCTAGATAATACTTTGAACACAGTTCAAACATCCATTTTTATGGACAGATTTTCTGAAAATGACACCAGATGTAAGTTTTCGAGCTTCTATTAATTTATGGCAACACTGATATACTGCTCAAAACAAGTTAAGGACCACCCTTACATGTTACTATATGTTAATTTGTCATGGCATGACAGATTAACGATAGTAATATGAAAGAATTGGGTGTTCCTTAACTTGTTTTGAGTAGTGTAGAAGTTCCTTAGGCAAGGAGTCAATAGTAATGTATAAGTCATGTAGTTCATGGTAAACCACAATGACAATCAACAAGTAGTGTTTCCCCTGGTGTTAGTGTTGTACACTATCTGACTGCGACCCTGGGTCGGTGCAGGGGGACATGTTATGGTTGGCAGGGATTATACTGCGGGATTACCACAGGATTACCACAGGGTTTAGGAAAAGCTAAACACACAATGCAGTATGCATATAGGGCATATTCTCCCCATATAAACCAATAAGCAATATCATTTTTATTCTTCTCTTGAAATAGCTATTCATGCCAGTCCAAGATATGTACATTAATATTCTGTTTATGACAGACAGAAAGTAATTGCTAAAATAATATGGTAGATAGTTTATCACTGCTTTTCGGCAATACTTGTCAATATGTTTACAATTACCTTTCTCTTTAACAAAAACACTTAGACAAAAAACATTAAATCAGATATATTTTTTGATAATTAATCACTACTTTCAGCAACACCTGTCAGTATGTTGATTATGACTGGAACTAAAATCAACTTTCTGCTTAACAAAACAAAAAAAACAGTAGGATTACAACAGTAGATAATAAAATTGATAACTTCTATCACTTGTCAATCTATGTTACATGATGTTTCCTACTTACGAGGCTTGGAAGGCGGGGCTGCTTCCTGACAGGAAATCTCTGTCGAGCTTCCGCTCCGAGGCAATGACAAGATAGAGAGAGAGTTCTTTCGTATCTTCCATGACGCTGAGCGGCATAGCTCCTGCAACTTTGTGTGACGCTGCATCATTTTGAGATGTCAATTCTATTCACACAATACCACTGAACATATTTTCTAGTCTTCTGTTTTCGCTGTCTTGTGATACCTTAGTATACATTTCCCTGTTTCAGACCTCACAGATAGAGCTAATCTCTTGTGGGACGCTCTCTTCAAATAAAAGCCTACAATAAATCCAGTGGATAAATCATATGAATCCTTGATAACAGTTATTATGTGTACTTAATAAATCTGCATTATGGTGTCAAATCTATGTTCCAATGTTCCATATTTCACACCATCCACTGGTGACGTAGTCCTTGGAAAATAACAAGATAGTTCCATGGCTTGTTATCACACACACCTGTCTCATAGCAATAATTGTTCTACATGTCTCCTTGAGTGCTGTTTTGTTGATATGTCACCTCACAGTATTAGTCACATGTCATGACCATTTGTTCCACAGGCTGGTTTTAGAGAAGAGATCGCACACCTAGTCAAGGCCTGAATGAGATAACGTTCCACCCTTATTCACGCCGCAGAAAATGGGGATTTGCACTTTCCGAAACCACCAGTGCCCTCATGTCACAGTCTCATTAGTATCACATTAACAATCTCGTTACCTAAGTGATTCAACTAATTTTCCAATAATCCTGCCCGAGTGACAAACGACACCTGTCTGTTTTGTTGACATAAGTCTCCTCGATGCTGAAACAATGCAGCAAAACTGATATGTTTTGGCAATTTATTCCACAGGCATTATCTGAGAGATCACAGCTTCCGTAAACATGACGTTCTGTCCACACTTCGAGCCTATGAAAACATTTATTTGAAGTGAGGAACACACCAAGGGGTAATTTCAATGAAGGTTAATAAAACTGACCACCCATACAGTTACTGCTACCAACACCAGCTGTAAGACCCGCCTCTATTATGTTCACATAAAACACCCCCAGTGCTTTGCCAGGGATCAATAGACCATAGATCAATCGTTTAGAGAGGAGCAAAAAGTCAGGAGTGGGGATCACGCAATCAAGTCAGATCGTGTTCCTTCTAGACAGACAACTAGAATCAGGACAGATTTCTTCCCTGTATTCATTCCCTCCAAGTGTCCTTTGGGTAATGGTGTCTCAACCTGCAAGTGTTCTGATCGAGTCATTATCATTTAGACAATCCTGGCAACACTGACGATGATCCCGACCATGGGATGAAATACCCTAGAGTGAGGTAAACTTACTCACTGATGTAACAATACCTGGATATCATTTTAGAGAAATGAGTATTGAACAGAGGCAATAGAGGATGAGAAATGATACGCCCATGCAATTGGGCTATGTGCACACACTGACAGGGCACGAGTCCTAGAACGAAAATGGAATATATTGGTCCCTAATGTCCAACCAGTGCAGTCACAAACGTAATTGAATGAAGTATTTGCTTTCAGCAGACAATCCCCACCCATCAACAATCTTGGATTGTGTGTATTCTGCGTTCTCATAAACAAGACGGGCATTGAATCTTACCCCAAACTCTTTGAAAGCAGCACTTTTAAGTTCTTGTCTGGACACACGCCTGACAGGAATTATATGTGTTTGTTTGACACACTGCACTGAATGAATCCTGTGTTCTCATCTGAGTTCATGTTTGTTAGCATATCTCCAAACTGATATATAACTTGCAATATGATCAGTCGCCAGTTCAATAAATCCATCTGCTCAATGGGAAGTACTCAGGACATACAATGACATTTGTTATTCCTCAATAATCATGCTGTCTCCATCATAAAATCGCCATATGTCTGATGTCTTCATTGTGGCTATCCTTGTCGTATGTCATACAACCACCTATCCAACAGCGTCAACTATCCTCAACCATGCCCATATACACAAAGTCCCCGCTCACACATTCCAACATTAAATTGTCCCCGTTGGCTGACCTAGGTCATCTTTATTCATCATCATGTCCGCTGTCTGTCTGTCCGTCCACTCATCTGTGTGGTCAATGTCAGCTCTGTGAGTGGGTTGACAGTTCCGCTTGGAAGCTGCAGAATCGTGACATAACCCTGAACCTTGACCTATAATCAGCTCAGGCCAGAGACATGACTTGAATAGGAAACAAGTCCTTTAAGCAGTTATTGGTGATTAATAGATGGGTCTTTTTATAACATTATGTTCTGATAGTTAATATATTGATTACAATATAAAAAGACTAGTCTTGATAAGTCAGTGGTATTGTTGTAGTTTCCGACATATTTTGACATATACTATACAAAAAAGTTAAGGATCGACCATATAACTATTGTTAATCTGTCCATCCTCCAGAGTTTGCATTACAGTCAACCTACACTAACTCCTAGATCCATTCTTGTGGTTCTCGCAATCTCGAATTACCCACCCTTGATTTTCATCTGCCAATTTGATTGGCTATGTTACAAATCTAACGTACCAAACATTACAAACCAGCCTCAATGGGTTTACAATATCATCAACATGGTGGCCAGTCCTATTGATCATGATCAATTTTGTGAGAAATTCAACATTGAAAAACTGACTGACACACAAAACAAAGCCTTTAAAAATCCTTTTGATGTAAAAGATATCTTCATGTCCATTAATACTGGCAGTGGGTTTTGTTTTTAGGTAACCTGTGTTACCTCCCTTACCCTCTCACATTCCCTTATGTCGACGTTTGATCATTCTGTAAAATGTTAATGAAAATCAAGGGTGAACCATGAGAATGTATCAAGGGGAGGTTTACCGAAATGTGATGTAATCTGTCATGCCATGAAAGAATCTTGTGATCCTTAATTGTTTTGAGTAGTATATTAGGCTGTTAGAATACAGTCCTAAGTGAACCGCATAACATGTATTAGTCTTCAAAGTCAGTGCTAAATTGATACCAAGATTCTCAGGGACACTAAAATACTGAATTGTCAACACATATGAAATGAACCGCCAAATACAACTTAACCACCAAATTAAAAAGGCACATTTATTCTGAAAATCAAATAAAGAATGAGTCACATCAACCCTAGTGAACTTAGTCATATAGTTATTTCTTTCTGGTATCAGAAAAAGTTTAAGCATGTATGAACACATGTCAGAACAGACTGTTTCTTGTTGAACTGAACCCAAGCGGGTCAAATACAATACAGTTTGATAGTCGCAAAAACATTAAGCCTTAACGTAACTAAAGGTCAAACTGCCAGCATTAACCTTCCGAATTTTCAAAACTGCTCGTAACAAATACCTGCTGTAAATCATCCATCTATCAATAGAGTGTAGGCTATTGTAACTGTGTGGTCTGGGAAAGCCTACAGGGAACCCTGCAAACAATGCAGCTCGGCGCTGCTCGGGGCTCCACACTGCCCACAACAACCACTGAGAGGTAACCCTGCACAAAGAAATACATTCCCACAGCAGAGTGTACACAGGGACTCATATACCGTGGTGTAGCTTACACAGGGACTCATAAACCGTGGTGTAGCTTACACAGGGACTCATATACCGTGGTGTAGCTTACACAGGGACTTATATACCGTGGTGTAGCTTACACAGGGACTCATATACCGTGGTGTAGCTTACACAGGGACTCATATACTGTGGTGTAGCTTACACAGGGACTCATATATCATTGTGTAGCTTACACAGGGTCTCATATATCATGGTGTAGCTTACACAGGGACTGACCTATACCATGGTGTAGCTTACACAGGAACTGACCTATACCGTGGTGTAGCTTACACAGGGACTCATATACCATGGTGTAGCTTTCACAGGGACTCCTATACCATGGTGTAGCTTACACAGGGTCTCATATATCATGGTGTAGCTTACACAGGGACTGACCTATACCATGGTGTAGCTTACACAGGGTCTCATTTATCATGGTGTAGCTTACACAAGGACTCCTATACCATGGTGTAGCTTACACAGTTACACAGGGACTGACCTATACCATGGTGTAGCTTACACAGGGTCTCATTTATCATGGTGTAGCTTACACAGGGACTCATATACCACGGTGTAGCTTACAAAGGGACACCTATACCATGGTGTAGCTTACACAGGGACTCCTATACCATGGTATAGCTTACACAGGGACTGACCTATACCATGGTGTAGCTTATACAGGGACTGACATATACCATGGTGTAGCTTACACAGCGACTCATATATTATGGTGTAGCTTTCACAGGGACTCATATATCATGGTGTAGCTTACACAGGGACTCCTATACCATGGCGTAGCTTACACAAGGACACCTATACCATGGCGTAGCTTACACAGGGACTCCTACACCACGGTGTAGCTTACAAAGGGACACCTATACCATGGTGTAGCTTTCACAGGGACTCATATACCATGGTGTAGCTTACACAGGGACTGACCTATACCATGGTGTAGCTTACACAGGGACTCATATACCATGGTGTAGCTTACACAGCGACTCACATATTATGGTGTAGCTTTCACAGGGACTGACCTATACCATGGTGTAGCTTACACAGGGACTCCTATACCATGGTGTAGCTTACACAGGGACTGACCTATACCATGGTGTAGCTTACACAGGGACTCATATATCATGGTGCAGCTTACACAGGGACTCCTATACCATGGCGTTGCTTACACAGGGACACCTATACCATGGCGTAGCTTACACAGGGACACCTATACCATGGCGTAGCTTACACAGGGACTCCTACACCATGGTGTAGCTTACACAGGGACTGACCTATACCATGGTGTAGCTTACACAGGGACTCCTATACCCTGGTGTAGCTTACACAGGGACTGACCTATACCATGGTGTAGCTTACACAGGGACTCATATACCATGGTGTAGCTTACACAGGGACTCCTATAACATGGTGTAGCTTACACAGGGACTGACCTATACCATGGTGTAGCTTACACAGGGACTCATATACCATGTTGTAGCTTTCACAGGGATGACTATACCACAGTGATTACTTTTATTCCACAGACTTGTATGTGATATTACCAAGCTGTTTGGCATGGTGTTTATGTTTCACACATGTTAGTTGTGGTGATGGCTTAGCAGGAGTCTTTCAGCCAGCAGATGATACACATGTAAACAGATCATGAACTGAACTTTCACAATAACATGTCTGCTTGTCATATTTTACCTAGATTTTCTGCTGTAGTAAATTTCCATTCACAATTGTATTTGTATGGAAAAGTAGGAAGTTAGGAAATTAGCAGATACATGTAGAATTTGTTTGTTGAGAAGTATCCAACATGTTTAAAACTAGAAATTATTTGGCAGCATCATGAATATTTTCAAAAGGAATAATATGATATACAGTAAAAGAAAATGTGATATAAAAATTTTTTTTAAATATTTCATATTCATTTTTAATGGCTGAACTTACCCTAAGTTTTACACAAATACAAAATTCTGTTTTATTAAAAATGAACATGTTATTGCTTGCATTTTTGTTTAAGTATTATGACAAAGAGGGTTTATTTTGGTGTCTTAAATTAATCTAAAATCGACACTTCAAAAATTAAGTAGTTCTTTAAATGTTGACAATATACAACACAAAATGATTAATATTTCCTGTCTTAGTAAAGAGACCAAAGGAAATGATTAAAATGTTAACCAATAGAATTCAGTGCTGTGAAGATAATGTGTCAGGTGTTCATGTTATAATTGTACATCATCGCTGTCTCCGACAGACTGACCTGGCACTTACTTGCCATAACTGGACTAATACAATAGTGACATACAGACGCAACCTGAAATTATGGGATGTTATCTCCCATCTTGTGTATAATCCTGTTATCTGTGAGATGATGTACTCAGAGCCAGTAAAGGAAGGGCAATGATGGCCTTGGTGACATCAATTAATTAGCTACCATGGCAACAGAGCATACATGTCAACAAATACACTTTCCTAAAGACACTTAAAACCGAATCATTTCATAAAGATAATGGTGTAGAGACAGCACTAAATATCCTTTTAAGAATTTAAGAATTTAAGCATATTGACATAGGGTTGCTTTTAGACAAAACTATTTCATTTGTAAACGGCACATGGGTTCATATTTTCACGTTCATGTCATTGGCAGAGGCAAAAAAAACACATTAAAATTTGATCAAAGTTCATTTAAGTTAATTCCCGAATAAAACTCCAACAATTGAACTTTTGAAAACATTTCTTTTAGCAACTTTTCAAATTACTAGATCTTTTGAATATATAAACTACACCTCTTCATTAAACCAAAAATATATTTGGCTACATATGATTATTTAATATATTTGTTAGGATATTCGAAGAGGCACATTTTTTCTTGACTCACCCAGAGATGCATATTTGGAAGTTATCTATGATACAAGGTAACTATGTTAAATACCCTATGGGCAAATCTTCACTTTCTCGTGCCATCACTAAGTATAATATCCATATAGTCTGAATGTTGTTTCAATGAGTCTAGACCGCCAAAGGGGCACTGTACTTCACCACAACTATCT